AAAGACAAAGAAGCAGCTGGACTAGTAATCCTCAACAACTTTTTAATTTTTACACCAGGAGCCAAAGGTCTGTTACAGGAAATAATATCCCCAGCAATCAGCAGTTGTAGGATTAAGCTGTACAAGGATTCATAAACCGCTAGTTGGCAGTGTTGTATAGAAATTGTACATGAATCAGCTATTAAGTTTCAAATTGAACTTGTGCTTTAAAATTAGCTTCCGCTAGTTTTTCTTATGACATAAGCGYTTTTCAAGTTGCGGACCTAAATATTTTCATAAGCACTTTAGAAATTGCGGAGCTAATTTTTGGATTAGTGCTGCCCACCACTGATTGAGGACATGTCTGAAGCAGATCTACCACCTCTCATCGTGCTGAGAACACTATCACTACAGTAGAGCATGATGGTGGTGGTATCATGCTGAGGGAAAGATCATCATCAAGGGCTGAGAAACTGGCCCAAGTGAAAGCAGAAATGCAGAAAAATTATTCACAGGAAGTTGGTGTGATTTTATAGATTGAGACAGGGTCAGTGGTCCATCTTCCAGTAAGACAATGACCCTGAACCACAGATGGACCTCTTAAACTATTAGACTGTGAGTCTAACTTTGACAGTCCTCCTCTTGTCTGTATCATCCCAGGTGTGCAGGAGAAGATGGGGGTGATGAACCGTGGCGTGGTCTACTCCCTGTGGGACTATGAGCCTAAGAGGGATGATGAGCTTGGCTTTGCTGAGGGCGACTGCATAACCGTACTGAGACGGGACGACGACTTGGAGACAGAATGGTGGTGGGCACGCTGCGCCGACCAAGAGGGGTACATCCCACGCAACCTGCTGGGGGTGAGCGGACCTCAGACATGTTAGACTGAAGTGACTCACCGCTGTGCTTCTGGTTCCACAGTTATTAATTTATTAGATAACTCTGGATCAGAGGCCTGGTCACATGAGCATAAAACATGTCACTGGGGCACGAACAAATCAAGGAAAGTATTCTGTTCCTTGAATCTGGTACTTATGGAACATACTGTACATTCTTGACAATTTTAGTGTTGTCTATCTAATTGTTAATTTTAGTAAAATTTTAGACAATAAAAAATTTTGTTRACAGAGATCTTCTATAAACTATGGAGAACCAAAACTCAAATAGTTAGAAATTAAAGCAAAAATAGATAAATGGATCAATAAATAAATAAATACACTGAAAATGCACCAATTATTTTATAAAG